GCCCCCCAAAACCCTTGGCTATTACAGAGTTGGGCAGCTATGTGTTGGGTGAGAAATTAACACCTGTGACCGGGTCAAAACAACCCCAAAGGACATCACTGCGAGGCTGTGCATGGGGGCTGTGTCTCCCTGCCCCTTGGGGCTCGCTTACACCCAGATCTGACTCTGGAGAACAAGCACTCATGACGGTTCCTCAGCAACTGAGCAAAAGGCTTCTACTTGGATCTAAAAATATAGTCAGCAAGATTAATAAAGGAAGATGAAGCAGACTGAGTTTTGACTCGGCTATCTCTTTAACGCGTGGTCCTAATCAAAGAGAAGGCAAATCCCTGGCGACCCAGAAGGAGTGTTTCTTCCTTAGTGTCTGAGAGTCTGAAGGGTTCTGCTTTACACATTTCTTTAGAAACAGTAGGAATCCTGGTTCCACAGACTTGGTGAGCGCTGAATACTTGGATGAGTTTCACAGGAAGCCTGCCTCCACAATTAGAACATCAAGGTGAAATAATTTAAGCTGGTTCTTAGGCTATCTGAAGTTGCTTCTTGTGAATGAATCTGGAATTTGCTAAGATCCTAGGGATCTGACAGATGTTCACATTTTCTAAGAATCATCTCTTTGTTTGGCTAAGTATTCCATATATAAGTTGAGTTCTTGCATAGTATTATAGCATATAAATATTTTTCTAAGTATAAAAGTCAGTTGAGTCAACTGCACTGAACAAACTCAAGAGAGCACTAGTACTTAGTACTCGAAAGGCAGGTCAGTCGCTCACGTTTGATGAGTGCTGGGTTATCTGTAAGTGATGTGACTCACTGAGTAGGAATGAGTTAGAAATGTCATTCTGTGCTGGCGTTTCAGCTTGAGTTAGATCAGGCTATTTTATTTGTTGTGTTTATACCTTGTAAGCAACTTTGAAATTTCTTAATTTATATAGCCTCTATGATATAAAGAGGTGATAAATAAAATCTATGATTCTCCTAGGTGTGACACAGGAAAGGCACTCAGAGGCAGTGGGGTGACGCTCGAAGCTTAAACCCCGGCTGCATAACAGCACCCTGTCTGCATTCGAGGTCCTCGACGCCATGAATCTCAAAAAGTGCAGCACCACTGCAGCCTCCACGCCGTGAAGTGCGAGGGAGCTGCTTGCTTCCTCACTAACTGTCCCTTCCATTCCATGAAAAGTGTGAGAAAATGGGAAGAAACTTTAAGGGATATTTGAGACTTCCACCAATAAATCTAGTGTTTTACATAAGTAATCGTAGAGTTTCACAGGCACTCTAGACACTCACCTTTTCACTAGAGAAAAGTGATTTCACACACACACACACACACACACACACACACACACACGAGAGACATCAGCCACAGAGTCATCTGTCTTCATATTGAAATCCCAGCCATACTGCTCACCAATTCTGTTACTTTAAAGATTTGAGGGGAAAAACCTGACTCTGACAAATGCTAAATGATTTTATTAATTTTATTCTGATTTATGATTCTACGTAGAGAAAATATAATTGTCCCAGCATTTTATCTAATAGCTTAAATGTTTGCTGAAGTTTTTCCTAAATTATTCTATAGTTAGTGATATATGCTTATCAGACAATAAATGTAAACTTAATAAAGTTAAAAACCCTAAATGGGCATGAAGCAGAAAAAAAGATGAAGCAGGAATGGCAGGACCCCCAGCCCATCAGCGATGGGAAGGCATACACTTCAGAAGGAGAATTTATCAATACCTTTTCAGAATTAAGATGTGCATACACTTGTTTCTGAAATCCTGGCCCAAAAATGTATCTTGCAGAAAAACTCAGATCGATCTAATTGATATCCCCGTGTTAATGTGTATGTGAATACGTATGCACACGCTGTGCATTCATATAGACAAATATGCAAAGTTGTCACAGCACCACTGTTGGAGTAGCAACAATTAGAAAGAGCATTAATTATTGCACATTGATGTGAGATGCTATTGATAAATTATGCATTAAAATATAAACTACAGAATATTTCACACACATTCCATACCTTACTGTGATATAATTACATTAGTTAAGTTGCAAATCTCATTAGCTAATTAGATGCACATCTGAGAAGGCACATCGCTATTATGCAGAAAAGCAGCTGAACAGAGTAGCCCAGGTCAGTGCTGGAGCCGCCTCCGCTGCGTAATGTCTCTTGTGTCCCTCCAGGCCTTCGTTCATGCTGTCTCTCTGCTGAGAGCATCTCCTGCCCTTTCCTTCTGCTAAGGAGGACCTAGCTTGAAAGATCAATTAATTCACCTCTCTTTTATTTCAGTATTCATATGGGCTGTGTCCTAAATCTACAGGTTCTACCCTTGGCATAGGAACTGAGCTACTTGAAATGCGCTTTCAGTGTGCTGGCCACCTGTGTGAATACCTAGGGGCAATGAGGACAGTGGAGTAGAGGCGCTAGCTGCAAGCTTCTTAAGTGTTCATCAGCACAGTCTCTGTTCTTTTCCACTGCAGCGGAAGGGGATATCACAAAGGCAGCTGGTGGTGCCAGTCAGCACTCAACTGCAAGTTAAGGTACTGCTGATTTCTCAGATGTGCTTGCTGAGTGTCCAGGAAGACAGGTGTAGCCAGGCAATGGCCTGTGTGTGGCCTCATCGAGCCTGCTTCACAGACACACAAGATTCTGCAGCGGACTTGCCCTTGAGCCTGGAGGACAGGACAACACCAGCCTTGCATGACCCCCCACACACACTACCTAGGTTTCATCCAGGGATAAAACTCCTTGGGTTGTGCTGGTCCCTAATATAACCTGTGAGGTAGGAGGGGGGAGTGTTGAAAGGATCCGCAAAGGATGGAGGCTAATGAACCATGCCTGGGCATTGCCACATGCTTACAAAGAAAACTAAATCAGAGGGTAAAAAAGAAGTTGCACAGTTGCTCTAAGCCTCAGATGCTGCCTTGGAGAATCAGACAATCATCAGAAAGGATGTTGCTGATCATTCAGTAAGTGAAAGTCCTTCGCAGCTGGCTCAGAAGGAGGGAGCTGTGCAAACAGTGCAGCCGTGGTTCCTATCTTATCATTCCCCTGCTGCAGAAACTGAGGCATGGGGCCATGCAGATGACAAAGCAGCTTTGCTGTGGCCTGCCTCAGACTAGGGGAAGGTTTGCTATGTCTGGGTCCAGAGACATTCCCTGCAAACAGAAAGTTGGCAGAAGAAAGAAATTGGGCATGACCCAGCAGGAAGCAGCTGAGACTGAGTACAGTTAAAATAAAGAGTGTAGGGCTGGCCAGATAGCTCAGCAGATTAGAGCACTTGCTTAGGCAGATGCAGGGACTCGGGTTCGATCCCCACCATGCCGTGCTGGCCCAGCCCTTGGGGAGCACTGAGACAGCAAGTGAGACTGGCGTGGTGGTGCTCGCCTGTAATCCCAGCACTTGGGAGACTGGAAACAGGAGGATCACTACGAGTCCGATCTGTGTTGAGACTCTGTAGACCCTGCACTAAATACATAAGAAGAGTGTAGAAGAGAGATATGACATCCGTTACATAAGGAGGACAGAAGCTGGATGCCTAGAAGAAAAGTTCACGGCTCTGTATTAAGTTACAAGGTTTCGGGAGACAGGTGCAGGTCTCCCCAGGCCAGCGGCCTCTGGAATTCTGGTGGCACACACTTGTGCTGGGCCACAGGCGCTGGGTGGCGTGGGGGTGATCCAAGTGTGCTGCACCTCCTGCGCACTTAGTTTCTGTTACTATTACACACACAAGGTAATAATAATACAAGCCTCCCTAAGGCGAAGTCCGCGAGAGCCCTGAGCTTGGTTTTCTGCACCTAGACAGCGGGTGATGGGAGACACCGACACCTGAGGAGTAGTACCCAAGTCCAGTCTACTCAATCTCGCTCTGGCCTGCCCCCGAGGATTATGGATTGTCACTTGCCACTCGCCGGAATCTGCAAGCATCATTCCGAGAGATGCAGCAGAGCCAGAAGCTGTGTGACCAAAACACTTGTTTTGCACGCGCAAGCTAAATAACTGATGTGAGAGATGTAAACCTTTAGTCTTGCCTTACCCAGGGCGTGGCGACAGCATTCTCCCCATCACTGTGGTGAGTCCTGCAGCCCTGACCCAAAGCCCAGCGGCACAACCCACCTGCACGTTCCCTCTTTTGTCGGATCGTCATGACTGGGAATGCTTTGCTCCATGCAGGGCACAAAGAAAGTGGAGGAAATGAATCAGGCTGATGCTGGTTCTAATCAGCTCCACTGTGAATTCAAAGACCAGCTGGGTCTTCGCAGAGTGTAATTGCTATGAACAATCAATGTGTCAGTTGAGATCTTATAGTCTCTATTTTTAGGTATTCATTGGTCTTTTGAATTTTAGAAGCAACAGATAGATCTACAAAAACACTAACATGTTTTTAAGAGCACAAGAAGAAAAATTCATGTCAGTGGGCAGCTTTCAAGATAACCATTGTGGGGTACAAGCTCCAGCATGGTGGTTAAGGAATGATGGCCTCTGAGGACAGCAGCCAGGGACGTAGTGCTATTCGTGAGCACTGAATCTGGAAGTGGAACATGCAGTCCATATCAGACACACTGTCCACTAGGTTGGGGGCCTGGCTTAAGTTTCCTGAATCATGTGAGTCGATTTCCTTATCTGTAACGTGAAGCCAGCCACAGGGACTCTCATATTCGGAATGCAGGAAACTTCTGAAAGAAGCTGAGTACTACTACTAAGAATAATGCTAAAGGTAGAAAAGGAAGAAACCGGCTTTAACCTGGAACAACAATTTTAAAAGACAGCAAAAAAGCCATGGGGAAATGTTGCCTTTATGAAGAATCCATCTGTAAAGTCTTCATTTAGCATATTTTCTTTAAGCTCAACTTGAGGATGGTGAATAAATGGATGAATAAGAAATACCATGGAACCCTGAAAATGTAGGAAGTCAATTTGAACAGTCATAAGTTGTGTGCTTCTTTTTCAGATTGCCCAAATTCTCTTTTCTTTAGGTTCTCCAACCAGAGAGATGGAACACAAACACAATGTCACAGAGTTCATTCTTCTGGGTCTTACAGAGAATGCAGAGCTGCGGAGACTACTGTCAGCCACGTTTCTAATCATGTACGTGATCATGGTGCTGGGAAATCTCCTCATCATGGCAACCGTGATCACCAGTCCGAGTCTGAGATCCCCCATGTACTTTTTCCTCACCTTTCTGTCCCTTTTGGACGTCACCTACTCATCCGTCATTACCCCTAAGCTGATTGTGGACTCCCTCTCTGAGAGCACCACCACCACCATCTCCTTCGAGGGCTGCATGAGCCAGCTCTTCGCAGAGCATTTCTTCGGTGGAGTGGGGATCATCCTCCTCCTGGTGATGGCCTACGACCGCTACGTGGCCATCTGTAAGCCGCTGCACTACGTGACCATCATGAGGCCGTGGATATGCTGCTTGTTAATGGTGGTGGCTTGGGCAGCGGGATTCCTGCACGCAACAGTTCAGCTTCTCTTCATGTATCAAATACCCTTCTGTGGCCCCAATGTCATCGATCACTTCATATGCGACTTGTTCCAGTTGCTGACCCTGGCCTGCATGGACACCCGCACGCTGGGCCTCTGGGTCATCCTCAACAGTGGCGTCATGTGCATGGCGATCTTCCTCATCCTCATTGCCTCCTACGTAGTCATCCTACGTTCTCTGGCATCTCACAACCTCGAAGGGAGGCGCAAGGCCCTCTCCACCTGCGGCTCCCACCTCACAGTGGTGGTGCTGTTCTTTGTGCCATGCATTTTCCTGTATGTGAGGCCTGTGGCCACTTACCCCATTGACAAAGCCATGGCTGTGTCAGACTCCATCGTCACACCCACGCTGAACCCCCTGATCTACACTCTGAGAAACGCAGAGGTGAAAGCAGCCATGCAGGGACTGTGGAGGAGAAAGGAGACCCCAGCCGGCAGCTGGTCGCCCTGCTGTGCACAGCGTGCTTTCCGTAGATGGAACTGAGCTTTTGCAAAAGGGCAGTGGACCGAGAGATGCACAGGGGAAGGGAGGGGAGGACAAGAAGGAGTGAAAAGAGCGAGGATGTGTTCTGTGCATGTACGGCCTCCATGATGAATGGAGCCATTACCTACAGGAGAAAGGTACTAATAAAATAGCTGTAGGCATGAAAAATAAATTATTAATCATTTGCTCAGAAATTCATGGGGACTAAGGCTGTGCATTCTCTACTGAAAATCAACAGGATCTTCTATATTTTAAAAAAATTAAATCTACCTTATGACTTAGAGCATTTACAGTTTAGGGCTTCTGGAACTCTCCCACATTCCCCTTGGCTTCTCCCAGCTATAGAAAGGCCCTGCCCTGGCCCAGAGCACTCCGCTCACCCTCCTCCAACCTCGCCTCTCCAGGCCCACTGTGAAGTTCTCCCTGCTTCTCCGTCTGTTCTCCAGCAGTGCTGATTTTCCCAGCTGCCCCAAGAGCTCAGCCAGCCCTTCTCTCCGCAGGCCTCCTGCTTCTCCCTAACTCAAATGTGCCCTTTTCCCCAGGCACTGGTCTCGCTAAGGTCACACTAAGTGCGGCCTTTCGGGGAAGGCTTTCTATAATTGCCGAATCTTCATTGCTGTCTTAATTCAGCATTTTCATTTCCTTAGGACCAGCGGCCAAGTTGTCAGCATTTTGATGTACTCGTGGGCTGAGTGGAACTATCTTTCACCCCTCTCGCTAGAGTAGACGTTTGTGAGAGACAGACTTCTGTTCCTATGATGTGTTCTGGGTTTACTAGGTCTGTAATAACTATCTGTTAAGTGATTCTAGACTCTAACAGCCATTTATTTCTTTGTAATCAAATTCCAGCAGAAGTCGAAGGAGACTATCAGTATGTAACTAAAAATAAACAAGGGACATAATCTGAGGGATGGTTAGAGAAAGTTCGCAGGGAAGGAAAGCTGCAGGCATTTCTTGGCAGGCCCATCTTGGAGGGGGATTCTCTTGGTAGAATGTTTGTGCAGCTCAACGAATTCAGAACTTGACATATATGATTGATCCTTCAAGTTTCTCCTGTGGATCAGCTGTTACTTGGGTGAGTTTGGTTTTGTGAGTGCATTGACATTTTGTCTCACAGATTATTTTATTTTTTCTTTATCCCGTACTTTAACATTTTAACTATACAATGGGAGGACATTCTTTTGAATTACATTTGGGTGGGGTTCTAAATGCCTGCTGTGTCCAGAAATTTACTGCTATTAAAGAACACAGTAATCTTTGTTATTATTTTACTGAATAGCATTTCCTTGACTTTAGCCTTATTTTAATGACCTATTTTATTCCCTAAACTCCTACATTTAGTTTTTCAATGGTATTCCAGGTGTTTTGCATATTTTGAGGAGGGCCAGGGAGATGGCTCAGTAGAATAAGCACTCGCCTGGCAAGCGCAGGGTCCTGAGTTCAATCCCTGGTATTAGAAAAAAAAAAAAAAAAAAGTAATGCATGCTGTAAGCTGGCTTAATCAACTCTGTTTTGTAACAAGCTTTGTAAAACCTCTGTTTTGTAAAACCTTGGTCTCTTTTGTAAACTCCCACCCATGCCTAACCGTGAAATGTGACTGCTTGTGCAGATAAGAAAATGTTTCTCAGCATACCAAGAACTGGGTTAAAGTGTCACTAGATGTGCTTCTGACTACCAGAACAAAAACAACGCCTGAGCCAAATAAGGACAGACTCCTGCAAGGTTGGCGGAATGCGACCTCATCTGCAGGAGCAGAGTTAACCCTTGGTCATGACTAACTCTGTAGAACTCCACCCTCTTGCCTCTACTTGTGTGGATTTCTGCTTTAAAGCTGTGCGTCACCTCGACTGGGGGACGCACTCTTGTCAGGTTCTGAGGAGAGTGTTGCCGCTGAGCTCAGCTAATAAAGCGCTCCAAATTTCTTCTTTGGTTTCGGTGTCTACTGGTTTTGTGGCACGCCACAGTACCTATTTTGTCTATAATTTATTCTTTTTAATTTATTGCTGCAAAACCGCAACACGTAATTGTTCCCACCTTCAAGCCTTGAAATTTTAACTTTTGCTTCATCTAGCCTATTAGTGAAGATTTCAGTGGCGTTTTAGTTCAAATTTTTCAGCTTTTTATTTCCAAGATTTTTTAATTTTTATTTTTTGAAATCTTCCTCTTTTATTATTCTTTTATGCCAATTATTCTTCCTTTGGTCACTTTTGCAATCATTTTAAACTGTTTGACTGATACTTTGCCATCTTCGGTGTTACGCGAATCAGTAACTACGAGAGTATCAACATTTGGAAGGCTCGTTTCCCTTGCTTGTTTCTTATATAGAACAAATACATTGAGATTTCTATGCTTTCGTTAGTTTCTGCTTCTCTTTTTCCTAGAAACGAGTATGCTTCCATCGGGGAATTGATACAGAAGTTAGGATGGAATTCTCTTACTGTCTTATGTCAGGCCGTCTTGGGAATGTTTTTCTTTTCTTAAGAGCATTTCCTGAAGGTAATAGCTGGGTCAAATGGAGCCTCTAGACTTAGCTTCCTGAGGAATCTCCACTCTGATTTCCACAGTGGTTGCCCCAGTCTACACGCCCAGCAATGGGGGAGAAGCTTCCTTTTTCCCCACCGCCGCTCCAGCATAGGACCCCAGAATGTGTTTACTGGACCTCTGTGAATGCTTCTCTTTTTCATCAATTAAGTTTATTGATACTATTTAGGTACACAAAATGATTATGTCCATCATAGGGAATTTGTACCCATACAAGATATTTTGTTTGTTTTTTGTTTTCTTTTCTGACCAGCTCAGCCTGCCCTAGAGGTGGGGCTGGAGTGGCATATGGTGTCGGGGATCCAACTGCGGTCTGTGTGGTTGCCTAAGAATGCCTAAGCAGGCACTTTAGACCCCTGAGCTATCTCGCTGCCCCCACAAGATATGTTTTGATTCTTCTTTTTTTTTTTTTTTAATACTCTTTCCTCCTTTCAACCCATCTTCCCCTTTCTATTTATAAAAAATTGCTTCTGTTTTATCGTTTTTTAAAATCATTTTTCTGGGGCTGGCCTGACAGCTCTGCAGACTGAAGCACCCCCTAAGCAGAGTGCAGTGGCCAGTGTTGGATTCCCCAGCGGCTGTGCTGGCCTCACCCACAGGGCGCGCTGAGATGGCGATTGAGTCTGGGCCTGGTGGTGCATACCTGTAATCCCAGTGCTTGGGAGGCTGAAAACAGGAGAATCACTACAAGCCCGATCTGTGTAGTAAGACCCTGTGAACCCTGTACTAAAACGCATAAAATAATAATAACAATAATTTTCCTTTGCCCTTCGTCCTTCTCCCCTCCTCCAACCTTAGCTCTTTCCTTTGAACACTTTCTTCCCATTTCACAATATTACTGTGCAGATCATGGTCTCAGCTGGTGCGGGGTGCCTTGCAGACGTAGTGCTGAAGAGAGGTGTCTTGCAGGGCTCTGCTGTTTCAGTGAGGCGTGAGACTTGACCCCCCGATGGAGCTAACACGGAATGAGGTTGCAAGCCAGGTGCTTCTGTCCGCCGTCATAGAGGCTGAGCACAGGTCAAGGCTGCCGTGGGCCAGGTCAGGCCTGATGTGGGGTGTGCCTTCCCTCCATGGGTGGTGGTGCATCTCTGTGGCTCCTCACTCAGGGAGCGCGCTGGTGACCCCGAGCCCTGTCCTCAGCACTGCTCAGAAGGAAAACAACACAAAACAGCACAAGCCCCACATGCAAGCAAATGGGATCTCCCAAGATAAAAAGAAGCAAAGGAGAAAATATAACCCATTACCTATAACCAAAAGGACAAAGACACACTATACAGTACTCTAAAACAAAAGTGGCAATTAATAAAACAAAGCCTAACCAAAACAAATGAAAAAATAGAATTAGTGTAAAAGAGAGAGAGGAAATAGTAAGGAAATGAAATAGGAAAATATTTAAAATAACAGGAATGGGCGGAACAAAAAAGAGAGATTAAGATTATCAACTGTAAGAGCAAACAACGGCAGGACACAGTTGATTAAAAGCATGGAGAATGGTGCTGAGCGTGGGGGTTCATGCGGGTCATCACGGTACGCAGTAGGCTGAGGCAGGAAGATCAGAAAGTTGAGGCCAGCCCGGGTTACATATGAGTTCAAAGCCAGTGTGCTAAAATAGTGCAAAATTTAAAAAGGAAAATAAACAAAATACAGACACCGGAAGATAGGTTGGATGGAGGAAAAGTGGAAAGAGAAAGAGAAAGACTGAAACTCAGAGAGACACTAAACCACAAATCTGCTCCGAAGCCCTTCCCCGCCTCGCACCCATCCCTGTCCCCTGCTCAGGCCTTTCTTCAGACTGGCAGAGTGCACCAGCAATGGGATGGAAAACGTGCAGCTTTCACATTTGTTCCCCGCTTCTCAGCTGTGTCCAAGCCACTCAGCGAGGGCACAGGCTGTGGCTCACGTCTGTCCAGAGCACAGAGAGAACATGGCCACAGCCTGGGCTTTCTGGGGGAAAGCTAGCACGCGCACAAGGGCCACAGCCATCACCTGAGGGGAGAAGCCCACATCTGCTCACAGGTGTCACTGCGCCATGCGGCCTGCAGCTGCCTTTATCCTCTAGTCCTGGCCCACATTCACACTCGACATCTCCAAAATAAGATGGATAAGCAAAGGGGAACATGAAGTGTGCTCGTCACCCTTTGATTCCATTACGTTGAGGTTAAAGGAACAGATATGGCCATGTTTTTGTTGCTGTATTTTTCCTCCAAGATGTTCAGAAGTACAATCTCTGTATAGAGGCAGGTGGTCTATTTTAGTGTTTCCTTAAGACATGAATATCAGAATACTCTTGGCTTAGAAGAAATTTCATTTTAATTAGCAGAAGAAACATTTCCTCCGATCTTTTGATTCGGAGCTTATGACAACAAACGCCAATTCTCCAGGGTCTAGTTCCCCAAAGCCCAGCACTTACATGTGAAACAAACAACAAGGTCATAAATCTAGCTTCAATGTCTGAATCGTCCACAAAGACATCTCAAAATCCCTCCAAAATTCTTGATCATTTGAAAAATTTTAGTTGCCTTATTCCTTGGATTCTATTTTGCAAGAGTCACCCACTGCCTTTGAAGGAATAGTACAAGCCTTAAGAAAATTTTAATTTTGAGGGAGATTGTGCAGAGGTTATTAATAATGGCCAGGATGTAATCAGTCTAAAGTGCACAACAGCTAATTCTGTCTGCCGGTGAGTACCTGCAATGCTGGGCACGTTTCATTCTCATGATATACACTGATATCTGGAAAAGCATTCGGGAGGAATAAATGTAGGTGAGCTGAAGGACAGTAAGATCAACTTAACCAGTAGGTTAAACATCGCAAACTCTATGTCTACGATCATTTTGCAGAATTTGAAATACTATTCTTCCGTGCTATGTTAAATACACACTTAGGGGTTTTAAAAGAAATTTTCAGTGCAAGTTTTGTCATCTTGAAATGTAATCAAGTCATGAAAAATAGGGTAAAACATATAAAGAAGTGAAATTTAAAAATATGCACATCTTTGTAAAGATGGTGATAACACAGGTGCTAAAAAAGAGTGCAGGTGAAAATAGCTATATTTGGAATGTCCACACATTCTTTTTGGAAGAGCTATGGAAGAAACTTACCATTTAAATAGGATATAATTAAAAGCACTAAAGGAAAAACAGGGTAATCCTAGTAGCCTGGAAAGACAAATATTTTATAGAACAAATTTAAAAAGTCATGGCATCCATAGCGTTGTATTAGTGGTCAAATATTTGACAGTGACGTTGCCGAAACCCACGTGACACGCTTTCCCACGTGAGCCTTTCCTGTTGCCCCAACAGGCGCCGGAGCTACCGCACTGAAGGCTGAAGAAGACTGGACTGCAGCCCCAGGGGCTGCCAAGGACTGTTGTGTCTGTGACGGCTGGTGGCAGGCGGAAGCGAGGGGAAGGGGTACTTCAAGCTACATTCTCTTCTGACTTTATAAAAGCCATAACTTCAGTTTATAAAATAACAACTACTAAGAGCAAGGTGATAGTGTTATACCAGTGGGAAAATTAGGATAATCTATCACTGCATGGGAAATCATTAAAACTTTAAAATAAAAAGATGGAAGTTATTTCAGGTACACTTTAAAATAAAAAGATGAAAGTTAATTCAGGTAAAGCTAAAAGCACTGTTGAATGTAAACCATAGGACCTCTTTTGTTTCTACTTCTATAAATATAAGAACACTTGATCTAGTTCGGACCCCGTGTCCTCCACAGTCCACTGCTTAAATAGGCCCAAACGACACCAGGACAGCTTTGTTAAATATGTCCTGGGGTCCTTGCTCTCCAAGTTTTAGAGATGTGTAAGGAGGATCCGCTTTAGGCTTTGAACTCTCCCACTTTGTGATGGCTCTTTGTGCTTATTAAATTAAAATCATATGCTAACACACTGTGGATCTTCTCCCAGAGATGAGCAGAAAGAAAATTTAATGGAATATCAACAAAATTCCCAACTCATAATGGGGTATATAAAGTTGGAATCAACAGTGATCAGAGGGCCGGGGAGATAGCTCAGTAGAATAAGCACTTGCCTGGCAAGCACAGGGTCCTCCTGAGTTCAATCTTTGGTACTGAAAAAAAAAAATGGTTAGCAGTAATATTAAGGACAACTGAAAAGACAGTGAAGGTTCTGTGTGGACAGGCCTGTAGAAGGCAAGAACTAGGGTCCGTACTGTCAAGGAGAAGGTGCAGGCAGTCAGCAGCGGGAGTGAGAGGATCGAGCGTGGTGTAACAATAGCAATAATGCGCAATCTTCAACTTTCTCCAAAAGCTGTAGGCCTATAACCACGGATGCCTGGGCTAGAAGCACTGAGGTACAAACGTGGGCACAGTAGTGCCTTGTGCTGAGTTCACAAGGCTAACTGCATGTTCTAAGTCAGAAACAAGGCAAGTAGCAGCAGGTAATTGAGCTCATTCTATCTAGACTTAGATTTTCTTGGGATACTGAGCCTGGTTAGTTAGCAGTTGAGAAAGATTATTGTTGTATCCTGAATATTGTTATAACAAGTAGACTTTCCAGGTTAACTCGTAACCATTTGGAGAAGTAAATAATGGAACAAACAAGCAAAAAATAGTCAAGATTTAGCCTACAAAAAAAGCAGTATCTGAAATATTTGATATTCTGTAATGTGAAAACCTGCAAAGATACTGAAAAACTCTTTGTTTTTAAACTTTGTCTGTTATTCTTTTGACATTGGTTCACAGACTCTTAGATAGTTGCTGTGTTACTACTAGACAGCCTCTGAGCTAATCGGTCAGGAATTCAGTCTCCATGCCAACTAGCAGCCCCTCACTGATACCTTGGTCTCAACAGGCTTTCTTACAGTAGACCCAGGTTTTCATCAGAAGTCTCAGCCCACATGGCTGCAACCCGATCAGAATAAGCTACGTTCCTGAGTATAAAAGCAGGACTTCTTTTATCAATGCAGGTGGCAACGTGAGCAACACTCACCAAGGTCCACCCAGTTCCTGATGTTGTGCGCAACGCTTTGGGGACAGTGGCGCTCTGCACCTGGGGACAGCGGTGGTGGATCTCCTTCACAGGAGACTCAGTTGCTGTGGACAAGATCACAAGGGGGCCAGTCCTTAGACGTGCTTGAGAAGGCGCATCATAGTGCTTGGGTCTTCACAACCCCTTGCAGGGTCCATGCTGTACTCAGAATTCATCACATGGAATATCTGATAATCACACTCGTGCAGGTAAACAAAAGCAGAAAATTCACATGTTGCAATCTTACGTGTTTTGTCTTTCATTCTTGGCCTCCCCATCTAAGCTAGGAACATGAAAAGAAGTCTGGTTCTTTTATAAGAGATGTACTTATTATACGACTTTATTTGTATAGTTTATAATTTTTAGAGATTATTTTATCTCTGTTTAACGGGCTATGTACAACAAACCAGTCACATAACCAACAGAAGGTGACCAATACACATTTAAGGATATCTCCAGGACAGTTTGTCAGGCTAGAGCCGTAGCTCAGTAACCTAAGTGCCTGTCTGGCAAGCTCAAGGTCCAGAGTTCAATACCTGGTACCAAAAAAATAAAAACAAAAATAAAAAACACAATAGTCAGTCAGGTAATTATATTTTGTCATTTAAAGCCTATCAGTAACTATACAGTAGACATAAAATTGAAGTAAGATCAATATTATTGGAAAAATTGATCAAATTACCTAGGGTCCCTCTTAAGTAGATTTAAATTCTTTAAAATAATATATGCCAGAAAAGGGTCAAAATTCAGTATATCACTACAGATCTGAGTATATCAGACAAGACATATTTATCCTCCTTCAAAATTATTTTCCATATTTTTATTTGTGTGTTAAAAGACTTGGTCTTTCTAAAGTCTCCGCATCCATCCGATTAACATGTGATTGAGTTTGCTTTCTCCTTTAATTTCTTCAAAATATACTTTTCCCTGATTATCACTGACTACTCTCAGCAGTACTAACTTTTGATTCCTATAAACAGCAATGCTCATAACATCGCCTTGTGTAGATGACATCACTAAACTGCTGAAGGGCAACGCTAATTGCCCGGTGGAAGAAGTCAGAACGTAACAGCGTGGCACTCCAGAGCGAAGCGGAGCCCTCGCGACAGACAGCAGCGACCGCTCTCCGCTCCACTGGCTGGCGCAGAGCCCTGCCCAGCCCCGCCCACCCATCCTCCCACGCTCGGATGCTCAGCTTCCGCTCCATCTACTTTCCCTAATGCAGCATCATGCGGCTTACTTTGGGAAATCAGAGCTCCGTGACCTCGTTCATCCTGGTGGGCTTCTCCGAGTACCCACACCTCCAGGCCCCCCTCTTCCTGGTGTTCCTGACCATCTACACCATCACCCTGCTGGGGAACTTGGGCATAATAGTGGTCAGAAAGATCAACCCCAAGCTTCACACACCCATGTACTTTTTCCTCAGCCATCTTTCCTTCTTGGATATTTGCTATTCCAGCGTGTTTACACCCAAACTCTTAGAGATCTTAATTGTGGAAAACAAAACTATCTCCTTTAGGGGGTGCATGACACAATATTTCTTTGGCTGTGCGTATGTGATTACAGAGATGTTTCTGTTGGCGGCGATGGCCTATGACCGGTTCGTGGCCGTCTGTAACCCCCTGCTCTACACAGTCGCGATGTCTCCTAAGCTCTGTGCTCTCCTGGTAGCAGGGACTTACACGTGGGGGGGACTCTGCTCCTTGATAATCACATACTCTCTGGTGCAGCTGTCCTACTGTGAGTCTAACATCATAAATCACTTTGGCTGCGAGTACTCTGCTGTCCTCTCTGTGTCCTGCTCAGACCGCTCCTTCAGCCAGATGGTATGCTTCATCATTTCTATAGTCAGTGAAGCCGGCAGCCTCCTGATCATCCTTGCATCCTATGTCTTCATAGTTGTGACTATCATCCGCATGCCCTCCAAGGGGGGACTCCAGAAAGCCTTCTCCACCTGCGCCTCCCACCTGACAGCCATCAGCATCTTCCACGGCATCATCCTGCTTCTCTACTGTGTGCCCAGCTCCAAGAGCTCCTGGCTTTTTGTCAAAGTGGCCACTGCACTTTACACAGTCCTGGTCCCCATGCTGAATCCGCTCATCTACAGCCTCAGGAACAAGGATGTGAAAGACACGGTCGGGAGGATAATCAGCTCCAAGCTGCATTCTCAATCCACATAACTCAAACAAATGCATACTTATTTAGATCTTAACTTATATATCATGTTCTCACGGACATTATTATTATTTTAGCTTTTAAGCAAATTTATTATTGCATTGTAATCCATTAAGGTGTTGAAAATGCCACGGTTTCCCGTTTTGGAATGACATTACTTCCTGTAGTACAAACACATTGCACTTTTATCCATTTCATTTGAGTTTTAGAATGAGTTACAGCAAAACCCTGCACTGTGAGTCATTTGATTAGCAAATGTTCTGCAAGATGAACAAATATTTCTAATACAGTTAACTGGGTTAGCAGGCGAGGCCTTGCCATGAGCGGGGAGTGAGTGTGGCAGGATCGAGCCTGAACCAGGGCTCCCTCTCCTCCCCTAGCTGGCTGGCACTGGCTCTCGCTCTCACTCTCGCTCTCACGCGCCCTCGCCCCTGCATCCCCCTTTCCAGGGGATTGTGGCTGATCATCTTCCAAACACAAGAAGTCATGGAGGAGGTCTCATCTGCAGTAGAGGAGCAGAAAAGGGCAGAGGGGCCCCTCACTTCTCATGAGATTAGGGAAGGTGTAAAATGTGGGGAACAGTGCAAACCTTTGCAGGCAAGCTCCACCCAAATAAGGCCACAGCAACATGGGTGACAATTCTATTTATCACTCACGCAATGTCACATTTCTGCGAGGTCTTCTAAAGGAGGTCAAAGCAAGTATCACTGGACAGAGTCTTCACTAAAGATACACTAAAAGATTCCACTGAGCCAGCAGATGGCCTTAGTGACAGTGGGAGTCGTCCCACACAGTGACGCGCCTCTGTCTTGTCTCCTTCATAGAGCCACTAAGATTTTCAAAGTAAGTTCAGATTAATTCTTTTTTAATTTTAGTTTAAAAAGAAGAAAAAACAAACAAAGGCAAAAGCAAATCAATAAAGAACAACCAAGATGATACAGAATTTCAAAGCAAGGTGATAGAAAATTAAGAATCGTGGTTATATTACATGATCAAATCTTCAACGTAGCTGTTCAGATCACCAGACAGCATTTTTATTATTTTGTATTATATTGCTGTATTATAATTATTTGATATGAATATTTTCACACTGTGCAATAAATCACCTGAGTCTCCATTATTTCTTAAAGGGAAATTCACTTTGATGTTGGATTTGCTCTCAGTTAAAAGCATGTTTCCTGAATGAATTGTGTTCACAAACTAAGGTTTTGCTATATATTTCAACATTTCCCTACTGTACACTGCGGAAGCAAAGTGAAGACAGGAAGACTATTATAATATAATATAATATAATATAATATAATATAATATAATATAATATAATATAATGTATATATGACATTACGTATTAAAAATATATGCAAAATAAATCTCTGAAAATGCAGCTTAAATTGAACAGCTTCTTCACCTCTTCTGTTCTGGTTTTATTTTAAATTGTGCTTAGTGAAAGTTCAGCATACCTAGACTGCAGCCTTTGCTGGATTCACACTTCAGAGCATGTATTTCCACCCCTCTTTTGTTTTAACTTAGTACTAGATTTCAAGCAGGACCTTGGTTGGAAGTTAAGCAAGAAAATATTGGCTACTATCTACATGCATCACTCATATTTGTTATGCTTCAATAAAAGCTGTTGATAGACTTCCACTCGCTTGCCACAGTTCTCATGCTAGCTACTGAGACAAGACCGTGATTGTGACATTTTACTTTTTCATCCCACCTTCTCCCAGGAACTTATCTGCTGTTGGTCATGACTGACATTCTCTTGTTGCTCGAGCAAAGGAAAAACTCTTAAATACCACCGTTAAAAAAAATTAAAAAACAAAAGTGTCACCACTGGCTTCTCACAAACACACCATCAACTCCCACTGTTCTCTTCGGCATGGCCAGCAGGCTCAGCGTGCGTGCGCCGCTTGGGGAGCGCCACACGGCCCGCAAGGTCAGCAGGCAGCCCAGCCCGGCGTCCTTGCTGTCTAGACGTCTACGGGGAATTAGTCACCGATTACGCATTTAAGACTGCCTTGCCTGATTATTCCTCTCCCCATGTAATTCCAACTGTTTGCTAACATATAATGTATATTCTCTTTATATATATTTTGTATAAATATTATACATGTAGGTTAATTATATAAGTAAGATAAATCTCTGAAAATGTGGATTAAATCCAATTTATGTCATAGTTAAAATTTTAAATATATTTTAAAGTACTTGTTAAATGAACATTTAACTCCCACATATATCAACACATAGTAAATTACTACCCCCTAAAATCTGTAAATACCACTTTGCTTTCACTCTCAATAGCTAAAATAAAAACTTTAGCACATTAAGACACTATTCTTCTATACATTCTGCTACCAAAAGATAGCGTTTGTTTCCTGTTGACAAACTAATACTGCAGTGCTTGGCTCATGGGCCACATCTCACAACTTAGGAACACCTTTACATGCCACTGAAGGTGCTGTGTGTATTTGACAGTGACTTTATTCTTTTCCTTTTTTCTTTTTTTCTTTTATTGTGGTACCAGGGATCAAACTTGGGCCCTTGTGCTTGCCAGGCAGGCGCTTAACCCGCTGAGCAACATCCCTGGCCCTTGATAGTGATTTCGATGCTGCTCTTGTTTAATCTTTCATCATTTCATCAAGTGTTCCAGATTTTTTATGCCTTAGTCCAGTAGGATTACTTTGAATTTTTAAATTTTGGCTATAGTGCATGTAAGTATTGCTGCGGAATACAAAGTTACTTATTAGAGTGAGTTTTATATGTAGGACTATTGTGCCTATATTTAACCTTCAATTTTTCAAAAATTTTTTATTGAACATTTAATAACAGGTTGAA